TATCAAATTTGTTTCTATATAATTGTACATAGTAATCTCTGATAATCGTTTATATTTCTTTGGGCTCAGTTGTGATTTGGTCATCTGTATTCCTGATTGTGTCTTTTTCTTGTTCATTCTGGCTAGGGGTCCATCAATCTTGTTAATTCTTTCAAAAAACGAGCTTTTTGTTTTGTTGATGTTTTCTATGATATTTTTGTCTTCTGTGTCCCATATTTGGGCTCTTATTTTGGTGATTTGGATTCTTCTGCTAAAGTTGGGGTTTTGATGGTCTTCCCTCTCCAGCTCCCTTAGATGATTGGTTATACTCTCAACTTGTGATCTTTCCATTTTCTTGATGTGTGCCTGTAGAGATATAAATTCCCCTCTTAGAATTGATTTCATGGCATCCCAGAGATTTTGGCAAGATGTCTCTTCATTTTCATTTGTTTCCAGGAATGTTTTAATTTCTGCTTTGGTTTCAGTGTTGACCCAGTAGTTGTTCAGCATCATGCTGTTTAGTGTCCATGTCTTTGTGGGCTTTGGGGAAATTTTGTTGGTGTTGATATTTACATTTTTTCTACTGTGGTCTGAGAAGGTGCATGGCAAGATTTCAACCTTATGGAATTTGTTTATGCTTGATTTATGGCCAAGGATGTGATCGATCTTAGAGTACAGTCCATATGGTATGAGTAGAATGTATATTCTGTGGTTATTGGGTGGCATAATCTGTAGGTATCTATTAAGTCTATTTGGTTGAGTGTCAGGTTTAGATTCTTGATCTCCTTGTTGATTTTTTGCCTTGATCTATCCAGGGCTGTTAGTGGGGTATTCAAGTCCCCCGCTATAATAGTGTTAGAGTCAAAATCTTTTTTAGTTTACTTAGTAGTTGCTTTATAAATGCTGGTGCTCCTGTGTTGGGTGCATATATGTTTAGGATGGATATTTCTTGTTGATATATCAAACCTTTTATCATTATGTAGTGTTCTTTTGTATCTTTTTAAATTTTTGATAGCTTAAAGATTGTTTTGTCTGATACTAAGATCTCAACTCCTGTCTTCTTTTGTGATCCATTTGCCTGGAAACTCGTTTTCCATCTTTTGAGTCTGTATGCGTCCCTTGTGGTGAGATGAGTTTCCTGGATGCAGCAAACAACTGGGTCATGGTTTTGTATCCAATTTGCCATTCTGTGTCTTTTCAGTGGTGCATTTAGTCCATTCACTTTCAGGCTGATGATTGAAATGTGATTGTTTATCCCTGTCGTGAGGTTCTTATAAAGTTTTTTCTTGGTTTGTTTTCTTTTGGCTTTAGGGTTGATGTATGTGTGTGTTTTCAAGTTTCTTGTTGTGCTGTATTCTCTGTTGATTCTGTGTTCTGCTGTTCTCTTGGGAAGTATGTGGTCCATCTTTTTCTTCTTTTTCCTGTGCTTAATATCTTTTTAAGTGTCTCCTGTACAGCTAGCTGGTCTGGAAGCTGCATAATCTCTTAGGGATTGGATGTCTGGGAAGGATTTTAATTCTCCATCACTGATGAAGCTGAGCATGGCTGGATAGGAAATTCTTGGTTGAAATCATTTATCTTCGAGGACTTTGAATATTGGACTCCAGTCCCTTCTTGCTTGTAGTGTTTCTGCCAATAGGTCTGCTGCTATTCTGATTGGTTTTCCCTGGTTGGTAGTCTGACCTTTCTTTCTTGCTGCCTTTATGATTTGCTCTTCTGTGCCTACTTTTTGTAGGTGAATTACTATGTGTCTAGTGGTTGGTCTTCTCATTTGATATTTCATGGGAGTTCTCTGTATCTCTTGTACTTAACTGGTCACATCTCTGGTGAGATGGGGAAAATTTTCTTGGATTACTTCCTGGAATACTTGCTCCAAGTTGTTCTCCATTTCCCTTTCTTCTTCTGGGATACTAATCAGGCGTAGGTTCGGCCTCTTGATATAATTGCACATCTCTTGTAGGCTTTGTTCTTTCTGAGTCTTCTTTCTATGTTTTTTACAGATTGGGTTAAATTCATGTTCTGGCCTTCAAGTTCTGAGATTCTTTCTTCAGCTAGATTAATTCTGCTTTCCATGCTTGTCATCTTGTTATTTATTTCCTGGATGAAATTTTTTATGGTCAAAATCTCTGTTACAAGTTCTTTCAGTGTTGCATTTTCTTTCTTGAGTCTTATTCTCTCTTTCCATCCATTCTCTAATTCCTGTCTTATTCTGGGGCCAGTTGTTGGTGACTTCCATTATTTGGGCTCCAAGGTCTGATTTTTTTTTAGGAGTTTTCTCTTTGTTACACTTGAAATTGCCTGTGGTCTTCCTTTGGTTTTTCCTCATTTGTGACAGACCTCTTGTTTTTCTCTTTAGATCTGTTAGTCAGTGTCAGTGGGAGAGGCTTTCCCTTCTGATGTTTGCTCAGCTCTCTATTATTATTATTATTATTCCCTAATCTGGGCTCTGGATTTCTTCTATTTTGAAATAGTACTGTGGGTGGGAAGCTTTGCTGTCTCTTTTAGTTTTTGAAAGTTGAATAATGTAGGGGATGGGGCACTAGGATTCAGAAACTATTTGCAGATTACAATGTTCACTGATTGTGGTATGTTTTCCCTGAGACCCACTCCCCACCAACACTCTATATGATAATGCTGAACAGAAACCAATGCAAAAAACAATTGAACACCCACACACACTCAAACATACACAGCCCCCCAAAACAAAGTAGAATAACCATGAAGTGAAACAAAACAAACAACAACAAAAAACCAAGAAAACTGAACACACACACATGTGCCTAGCACAAAATGGATGGAAGAGTAAAACAGAAAGACTGAAAAAAAAAAAAGAAATTCAGATTTAACCTTTACTCATATATTGACACCCACCTTAAGGTATAAAAAAAATTAAAAAAAGAAGAACAAAAGAGCAAAAATCAACCACTAACAACAACAAAGTTGAAAGATGAACACTCAATCATTCACAAACACATATAAACAGAAAACAACAAAAACAGAAAAAAGAAAAAGTAAAGAAAAAAGAAAAACAATTAGGGGGATGCAGATCAAACCCTCACATACACATTCACTCTCAAAGGACAACTATTTAAAAAATAGATGAACTTACAAATAATCGGGCAAAAAATGTTATAAAGGTAAAATAAAGAAAAACCTGCCCTCTTGTGGCAGGTGCTGTAATTCTTCCTCTAATTAATTCTCTCCTGCAGAGCCACCTCTTTCACTCTCTCCTCAGTGTCCAGAGCAGGAAAGGAAGAGGGGCAGTCGAGGTGGGTGGGGCTGCTGTCTTCCCCTCCCACTCTCATATGGTCAGGGAGATCTCCTACAGTGGGGAGGTGCTAGATTGTCTTTTCCCCAGGTATTTACTCCCTGAGGGTGCCTCAGTCAGGCCTATCCTGGGATGGTGCTCTCCCATTGTGACTGACATTCAGGCTCCATCTGGGTTTGTCCCTCTCAGTCATGGCCCAGGTGTGGCTCTGATGTTCAGTGAATTGCTGAGGAGGTGGGGGTTTGGGGTCAATCCCAGTCTCACCACTGATCTCTTTGGAGTTCTTCCTTGTCCTTTTCTGGCCACACCCCTTGCCCTGCCACTGGATCAGAACAGGAGGTGGGTCTCCTGGAACTCAGCACTCATCAGGTCCCTCTGAAGTCCATGCTTTTAGGATATTCCCTCTGGGTCACGATCAACTCAAGTAGTTGATCTGCCAGTCACAGAGACCAGGTCCGTTGCTCCATGGTGAACAACTCGGAGCACTCTCTCGCCCTGCCTTCATGATGGTGGCAGGGCACCACCCCTTGTCCTCTTCAGTGCGATTCTGCTTTTGAGCACCCTCTGCAGACCCTGCTGCCAGTGCCCCGCCAGGTGCTGAAGTGGTGAGGCAAAGCCTGTAACTGGCAGTCTCCTGCTGCAATGGTGAGGTAGAGCCTGGGGTGGTAGTCTCTCTCTGCTGCTTCTTCACAGGAAAACTTTTGCCCTTTATAAAAAATGGCGCTTGACTTCTGTGACCTGGGAAGAGCCAGGAACCAAGCAGAGAAGCTGCAACACCAGTTGTTACATCAGAAACCTGGCCACTTGCTCACAAGCCCCCTACTTAGTCTCTACCAGCATTTTCTTCCCAGTAAGGGTTTTGTTGATTTAAAAAAAAATGGGCTTGGCTCCCGATTCCCAGGATTGCAAGGGCCCAAGCCCAGCAGCTGTGGCATCAGCCACTCACCAGGAGAGCCCCAACCACTAGCTTCCTAGCCCTCACTCAGTCAGCCACTCACATGCCCACTCATTCACCAGCACGAACAGAAAATTTTCCATACCGGGACTTGCGTAGTATGACTGGCGTGGCTGTCATCTTCCCGACCTCCTGTAGCTCTGTTTTAATGCTGAATTCCTCCTCGAGAATGCCACTGTAATGCTTCCTATTATGGAGTTTTCTGTACTAATACTAAAACAAGAGGTAGAAATCATTATTACTATAGTTAGTAAGTAGATATGCATTCCTACAAGTATCTTTGATGTTTTTCATCTCCTTAAAATGAGCACATGCAGTTAGCAATTTCTGGCCTCAAAGATGGAAATAATAGACATTGGAGACACTAAAAGAAGGGAGGTGGTGGGGGATGTGGGGAACGGCAGGGTTCGGAAATTACCTACTGGGTGTAATGTTCACTATGCAGGAATGGACCACACAATATGTCCATGTAGCAAACATGCACTTGTACCCACTGAATTTAAAATTTAAAAAAAATAAACCATTTCTAGAAATGATGATTTTAGTTTATAATAATATATTATATACTCGAAAATTTCCAAGAGAGTAGATATTAAGTGTTCTTACCACAAACCACAAAAAAGATAAGTATGAGATAATGGATATGTTAATTATGTTGATTTAACCATTTCACAATGTATACATATGTCAAAACCTCATGTTGTACACCATAAATATAATTTCTGTCAAATAAAAGCAAAATAAATGAATAGCCATTTCTTTGTTATAAACTTCTTAACATTTTATTTTACTTTTTAGGAATAATTCTGAAAAATAATGAGACTCTAGTGCAATATGGAGTGAAGCCACAGGAAGTTGTACAAGTGGACATCTTTTCTACAAATCCAGATCTGTATCCAATCAAAAGAATAGAAGGATTAAATAATGTCCCTCAAATCATAACTGTCACTATACAAACTGGTTAGTTATTTGATGTCTTTTAACTAGAGTATTTTTGAGACCCATTGTAGTTGGAACTTTCATTCGATCTTGGTTTTATCTTCTCAGGCATTGATCAGTACCAGGAGGTAGCTGTTGAGGTTGTAAAATCTGACTTTCACAAGCCATTTCTTGGTGGATTCAGACATAAAATAACAGGAATAGAATATCACAATGCTGGAACACAAACTGTACCTAAAAAGATTACTGAAGGACCCAGTGTATTTTGTAGGGATACACAGGTGACTTTTTATTTTTCCATTTAGGTTTCTGAAGGTATAGAATCAACAATTGTATGACTCTCTCAAATTAAATTTTTCTAAGTAATTATGTACAATTAAAATAATAAATTAAAATTGATTTAAATATATAGAATTTTTTCATTCCCTTATAGATATATATAGAGGACACATTTAAATTTTTAATGTTTTCTTTAGACCATTTTTCAGAGAAAAAAGATTCAACAAACTACAAATACAACATCCACACAGATGACGAAAATTGGTGTATATGTATCAAATATGACTGATAAACTGGTAAAGCCAGGAAGATATTTTTCAGCAGCAGAATACCATGCTCAAAGATTAAAGGCGGTAAGATACATTTTATTATGGATGAACACTTATTCTGTATGCATCTGTTTCTATAAGTCAGCTAGCTTGAGAAAGAACATACATGAGTGTGGATCACATTTCATTGCTAATAAATAGCAGTCTTTATTTCCAGTACGCACTCATATAAGGGATCAGAGTCCTAAATGCTCCTAACCCTTCCCTTTCCCTTAGGGAAACCCAGGTGCTTTATGTGTTGCTTTTGGCCATTATTAACCTTCTCAGCACTTCTTGTCCCTTGACCTTAATACTTGCCACAGTAAAATCACCTATGGAGTCATTCAGATAAGACATTAAAATAAAATAAGACATTAAAATAAAATAAGACATTAAAATCTATTTTCTCTGATATTAGTATAGCCACTCCAACTTTCTTATTGTGTCCATGGTCTTTTGTCACTCTTTTACCTTCAGTCTATTTGATCCTTTTAAAGACAACATAGTTGGATCTGCCTCCTAGCATCAATTTACCGTGAGTGAAAATGACCAGAAAATAGTGATTTTAAAGGTGAGATTTTTTTGATTGGCAGTAGTAGGAAACTCTGGGTGGGGGGGAGGCACACCTCATCAACAAGGGTACCTGCAAAATGAACATTTGTATACCTAACCCTAAATTGTACCCCACATATTTAAAATAAAAAATTTAAAGAAAAGAGATTTTGTCTTTCAAATGACAAGAAATCTGGAGCTAGGCTGTTTTTCTAGCCCAATTAGTCCAAGACCTTGAGAGATAAACTTGTAGTACAAAAAAGGCGTCTATTGACTAACATTGCCCTGAAGGAGACTGAACACCAGAGGGAACCATGGGGCCAATTTTATAGCTGGCTTTATCAGTGCCAGTTATTCCAGCGTGATGAATTTTTACTTTTTTCAATCTAAACTAATTTTCTCCCAATAAAGGAAAAGGTGGAGTTATTTTAGAATTTGGGAAGAGGGAAGCTTAGGTGAAAGTTAAGCGAATCAGTATCTTGATAGTTTCAGTGCAAAACAAGGCTGTGTGTAAGTGAGTAAACATCAGGTCTGCACTGTGTGGTGGACCAGGGTTTTTTCCTTTGGGAACAAACTTTAAAAAGATGTAGAATGTTATTTTCTTTTCTGAAATTCTCTAAAGTTTATCATGTTGGTTGCAAATTAAGACTGCTTATCTCTGTCAAAGTGACTTAAACACTCCAGGCATGAGTGGAATATTTCATTCTTACTGATGTAATCCCAAACAGCAAAGTTCTGATAATTTCTGATTTTTTAGAGAATAAAGTTTCAAAATAGCAACAAAATAGTTGTCACTCAAAAGAGGGATTGTTAAGACATTTTATAGCTGCAGAGTATCCTTTGGAGAAATTTTATTTCCTGTAACTTTTTTGCTGACTTTAATAATTAGTGCCTTTTATTCCAGCCTAATGATTTTTACTTTCTTAGCATAAACTAATTTTTGCTTTCTTAGTTTCCTGAACTTGGGTGGTGGCTCTATGATGTTATCAGGAATGCAAACTCCTTTTATCTTCCTATTTTATTAATCTCATCATGAGGTTGTTACTGTTTGAAGAGAAAATGGTTGACTAACTTTCATTATCATGTCTGCAGTCTATGCAGGAAGAAGGGAAAAGTCAAGGGAGCATATCCCATGTATGCCATCTTCAAAGATTTCCCCTGAAAGTGCCACCCAGTGACTTCTATTTACATCTCAGTGGCCTGAATTATGTCATGTGACTATTCCTCGGCAAGAGTGTGTGATAAATGACTTTTTAAGGAAGCATATTGTTGCTCCTTGGTAAGATTGAGATTTTCTTAGTAAGAGGAAGTAGGGGAGACTGCATATTAGGTAGGGTAATGGAAGTGCCTTTGACACCTTCCAAACTCAACAAAAAGATATTAAAGGAAAAAAAGAATGTATAAGCATACAAGGACAAATAGTCTACGAGAAGAGAGAAGGGTAAATATCAGTTGATTTTTTTTTTTTTTTTGAAGTTGTAAAACAGAGAAGTGTTCACTTGACTTACCAGAGCAGAGGAAGTGAAAATCTAAATGCTTGCCAAGGGAGATGGCATTGAAACCAAATAGATTTGTCTCTTGAATCTTGGAAGATGAATTGGAGGGTCTGTGGGAGGTGGAAGTGAAGTGTGCGCTGTAAAAAGAGGGGTTAGTTAAAAGCCAGCATGAGGAGTAAGTTTCCATCTGATAAGTTCTTTTATCTTCAATTCTTTTCTACTTCAGTCATACTTATTTTGTTCTTTTATAGCTTTTTGCATTCAATGCTTAGTATGTATTTAAGTCTTTCTTGTTTCAAGCAAGATTCTATTATATGTGACTACTAATGTTTTTGTATTCATTCTTGCCATGTCATCATGTTTTAATTTACTGATCCTTTTTATTGCTTATTCTTTTATTCATCTTTCCTTCTTTTTGTTGGCTTGTTTATACTTCTTCACTGTTTTTGTTCTTTCATAGTTCAGAAGTAGGTACTTTATTTTCTGTTGGCTAATTGTAACAGTTTTTAAACACACTTACATTTCTTATAGCAAATGCAGACATAATTAGGCTGCATGTAGTCTCCATGAACAAGTCGAGAACCTTGCTAGGCTTTTATTTTTTTCATCTCCTTCTCTTCCCTCATCCTTCCCATTCAGCAAAAATTTGATCTGAAATTATAAATTTGAATTATATTTATTTATAAATCTGAATTATATATATACATATATATCTTACTATATACTTATAATTTAGATTGTTTTTATATATTTGCACTGATTTTTTCAAATAAAATGTATTTAGTTTAGTAACTGAAAAATTTTTACTTATAATTGACACATAATAAATGTACATACTTATAGGATACAATGTGATGTCTAAATGCACGTACACATAGTATAATGATCAAAATATTGTAATTTCCAGATACATCACTTTAAATGTTTATCATTTCTTTGCAGTGACAACATTCAAAGTCTTCTAGTTATATTAAAATGTACATTACATTGTTATTTTCTGTAGTTATCTACTATGTAATAGAATACCAGAAATTATTCTTCCTGTCTAATTGTAAATGTGTATCCATTGCCCAGCATCTCCTGGTCCCCTCAACCTTACCTCTTCAATTTGTGGTAACCTCTATTCTACTCTCTACTTCTATGAAGTTAGCTTTTTTAGATTGCTCATATGAGTGAGAAGAACATGAAGTGTTTGTCTTTCTTGCCTGGCTTATTTCACTTAACATAATGTCCTCCAGGTTCATCCATGTTGCTGCTAATAACAGGATGCTGTTCTGTTTTGTGGCTGAATAGTATTCCAAGTTCTTGCTCACTGCTTTAATTTTTCCCCCTTACATTTATTGTTCTTGCTGGAACACATTCTGTAATAATTCTTTCAGAGTTGGGAAGTAAAACTATATGAGTCCTTATTGAGTTAACCTCATATTTTGATTTTTAGTTTGGGTGTAGACGCTTATATTCAAACTTATTTTCAGAATTATTATTTTTATATATTTAAAGCTGTATTTGACTAGAAGTGTGGTATCAGTCTGATTCTCATTTGTTGTTTTTGTCTAGCTTTTAGGATTTGCACTTTATCCTTGGTATTTGGTAATCTTATTATAATGACTTGGTGATGGGCCTTTTATGAGAGCTCATGCCTTGCTGTGGGAAATGTTCTTCTATTATATTTTATTAATTTCTTTAGCCACCTTTCTTCCTTTCATCTGGAACATGTGCCAGACATATTCTGGAATGTGTGTTTTTTTCTTTCATGTCTCTTATTTTTCCTTATTTTTATGGCTTTTTGCTCTGCATTCTAAAATATTTTCTCACCCAAGTTTCTTGCTTATTTATTCCTTCTTAGGCTCTGCACATTATGCAGATCAACTTATAATTAACTATTAGTTCTTTGCCAGTATCCACTTTTCTCTTCTCCAATTGTAGTAAAGCTTGATTTGGGCACATGACTGCTTTACTGAAGACTGTATTTTATCATCTCCCTTATACATCAGTGAGGCCATGTAACTAAGATCTGGACAGTGAGATGTGAGGGATGATGTGAGCCATCTACAGGTATTGCTCTTAAAGTGATCTCGATTCCCTTCCCTCTATTTACTGGTTGGGAGATGATGAGAAGTGGAAGAGCTATCTGTGATATACAGGTAGGGAGTCATTTGTTAATATGGCAGAGCCTTCCTAAGCTGCTTGCTAGTCCCTGGGTAATGATGCAAGAGGACAAAGTCTTCTGCATTGTGTTTTGGTGTTTTTAATAAATTTAACAATTTAAATAGCATCCAAGCTAATACATTCTATTACTTTTTAAAATTTCAAACATAAAATTTTCCATAGTCTTTTGTCTGTTATACTGATTATTTTACATAGCTTTTTCCTTCTGTCTGAAAATGTTAACTATATCTAGTATTGTCTTACTTTTTTTGTTATGTTTTGATGTACTTTAGTAAAATGGTTCAAAAATTTTTGCAACAGGGCTTGTTAATATATAGAAGGCCATGCTTTACCCTGGACTGAGAATTCTTCTCTTTGTTGAGTGAGGAACCAGTAGAACCTTTTTTCTACTGGTTCTTCTCAAATGTTTGGTTAATCTTAGTGTGTACTCATGGAGTATGTGAGATTCTTAATGTCCCCTGTGCTAACAGTATATTTGTTTACTCTGGTCTGACCCCAGTAGTTTTAGGGGATGTTTAAGGCTTGATTTTGGGAATAATCTAGTTTTGTATAGAGGAGACTCCCCCCCCCCATTCTAGGTGTCACTATCCTTCAGAGACACTAATCACTCTCCCTAGGGACAATCTCTGTTGCTCCTACCCTAAACTGTTTTAGAGGAGATTATGCCTCTTGCGTTTTTAAGCAGTCACCTGGCTGGTCACCATTGTGCTTAGAGCACCCACCAGTTTTTGGGCTTGAAGCAGTCCTAGAGCCATGTCTGTTCTCTAGCTTGCCTCTCTAGTGCATGGTTAGGTATAGATTTTTTCTTCAATTTATTCTACCTGCCTTTTTTTTTGAAGTGATTCTTCAAAGTTTTTATTTCTTTGAGGGTGTCCTTCAAAATGGTCCAGTGTCTTTATTGGTTTCTGTTTTTCCTGATTTTTCTGTAATTATTAAGCATTAGGATGAGTGTGAGAGGTGTGTCTATGTACACTCTCTCCTTTATCTTGATCCAGGCTCTCCACATTTTATTTTGATTTATGAGTTTAGTAAACAAAATTTAAAACTCTCAGAAAAAAGTTATAACCTCTCTCAGCTACATGACAAATTTTTGAGAACCTGATACTGTGCCACACTTTCAAACATATTTATATTTCATACAATTTAATAATTCAATAAACACTTGTTTGCTTAAGTCTTCCCTTTATCTAATCCACCTTGTGTGTTTTTAGAAAATACAATGTTGTTTAAATATGAGCCTAAGATAATGGCAATTAAGATAAGCTAGAGATAATTAATATTTATAACAATAATAATATTTACTGAGGATGACATGCATTTTCCATGGTCTTTATGTTAGTGTATGTGAGACTAACACAGAGCTAAAACTAGACTCCCAGTATTTCGCTGTTGATGTGGAATTGCAGTCACTGCCTTTCTTTATTGTTTGATCTAAATGTTGCTGATAGACACTTTTCCTTTGCTTTTAATTTAACTCTAGGTGATAGTGATACAGAGTTGCTACAGACAGTGGCATGCTAAAGTCTTTGTAGATAATTTAAGAAGACAGAAAAGGATGAGGTTGGAATGGGAAGCACAGGAAGAACTAAAGAAGATAAGAGAAAAAGAAGAACTGATGAAACTGGACTATTACCGGAGGCATAATCCTAAAACAAATGAAGATTTTGAACTTCTTTATAATGCACTAGAACGTAAGTTTGACATAGGCTTTGCATAAAATACTAATTTAAAAGCTTTTCATTAATAGGAAAAAGAGGCTTATTGAAGAGAAAAAGAAGACTTTATTATTTTAGGGAGATGTTTTGGTAATCGAGACTAGAGAATTTAGATGAATAATATCTTATATTTGGGACAAGAATTAAGGATGAAATGAAACTGAAAATCCTTTTATGTTAACAATTAATAAAATATGCATACTGCTCTGTGAATTTTGCAGTGTTAGTATGAGGGGGTACTGAAAAACACTGGAATTATCTTTTGGAAGGTGGGCTCTTTGTAGTACAAGGCTTTTCTGGTTAGGTAAGTATTCTAGGAACTCATTTGCATCAGCATACCAGCTAGTGTTGTTGTGAGAAGCTGCTTTTGTTTTCGGTGAATTTTTTTTTTTTTTTTTGAGATTCTTTCAATGCTTTTGCCCATTTCGTGACGGGTGATTTAAGAGTGCATCTGCCCACACTATACTGAGTGTTTAGCAGTCTTTGATTAAAACCGGTTTGACCCTCATGCCCTACCCTCCCTATTCACCTGAACTTGCCCTGAGTGACTTTTTTCCCCCTGGATGAAAAACGTCCTCACAGGGAAACACTTTGCTGATGTGGAAGATGTGAAACAAAAATTGGCAGAAACACTGAAAATAATCAAAATTGACAAGTTCAAAAACTGATTTGAGCAGTGGAAAAAGCATCTTGATAGGTGTATTGCATCAAATGGATAGTACTTTGAAGGTGATGGAAGTTGAAACATGTAAGAATAAATACACCATTTTTTATAAATAAATTCTGGGTTGTTTGGGTTTCTCCTTGTATACTATTTCATTTGATCCTCATCTATGTGAGATAAAGAGGAAAAATACTGTCTTATCTGGTTTTCTGGTGGTTTTGAAAATTTGTGAACTCAGAATTGAGTTGAATTTCTTCCTGTTTAATTTCTCAATACAGTATCCTATCTGATTTTGCTCTTTAGAGGAGGGGCTTGGCAAACCTTTTTAATTCCTTTATTAATAATATTATGTAAGTGCATATTCTGTGTACATTGTCTTTTTAAATTTTGTTAGATTTGGGGGTACAAGGGCAGTTTTGTTACATGGATATGCTACGTTGTGGTGCAGTCTAGGCTTTTAACCTACCCATCACCTGAATAGGGTACATTGAACCCAATAGGTAATTTTTCATTTCTCCCCCCTTCTCACCTTTTGGAGTCTCCAGTATCTATTATTCCCCTCTGTATGTCCTTGTGTACCTGTTGTGTAGCTCTCACTTATAAATGAGAATGTGACGTATTTGACTTTCTGTTTCTGAGTTATTTTACTTGGTATAATGACCTCATTTCAATCTTGGTTGCTGCAAAAGACATAATTTCATTCTTTTTTATGACTGAGTGTTATTCTGTTGTGCATATATACCACATTTTTTTTATCCAGTATTTCATTGATGGATGCTTAAGTTGATTCCATGACTTAGTTATTGTGAATAGTACTGTAATAAACATACAAGTGCAGATGGCTTTTTAATATAATGACTCATTTTCTTTGGGAAGATACCTAGTAGTGGGATTGCTGGATTGAAAGGTAGTTCTATTTTTAGTTCTTTGAGAAATCTCCATACAGTTTTTCATAGAGATTGTACTAATTTATATTCCCACCCACAGTATATAAGTTTTCCCTTAGCTCGCCAACATCAGTTGATTTCACCAGTTTAATAGTGACCATTCTGAGGGTGTAGCATGGTATTAATGTTGAACTTTTTTTTCATATATGTGTTGCCTGTTTATATATCTTCTTTTGAAAAATGTTTGCTTATGTTCTTTGCCCACTTTTTAATGGTATTATTTGTTTTGTTTTTCTTGTTGAGTTGTTTGAGTTCCTTGTAGATTGTAGATACTACCTCTTTGTCAGATGTATAGTTTATGAACATATTTTCTCCCATTCTGTAGGTTATCTGTTTACCCTGTTGATTATTTCTTTTACTATACAGAAGCTTTTTAGTGTAATTAAGTCCCATTTGTCTATTTTTGTTTTGGTTGTGTTTGCTCTTCTGGTCTTAGTCTAGGTCATTGTCAGAAGAGTTTTTTTTTTTTTTTTTTTAGGTTTCCTTCTCAGATTTTTTTATAGTTTTAGACCTGACATTTAAGTCTTTAATCCATTTTGAGTTAATTTTTGGATATGGTGAAAGATATGGGTTCAGTATTATTCTTCTGCATATTGCTATCCAGTTTTACCTGATTTCAATTTATACTACAAGGCTATAGTAACCAAAATGACATGGTACCAATATAAAAATAGATACACAGATCAATAGAGGATTCAGAAGTAAAGTCATATAGCTGCAACCAACTGATCTTTGACAAAGTCTACAAAAAATATACACTTGGGGGAAAGGACACCCCATCCAATAAATGGTGCGGAAAAATTGAATAGCCATATGCAGAAGAATGAAACTGGACCCACGTCTCTCACTTTGACTTTTTATTTATTTACTTTTTGTTAGGATTTCACTCTGTCATCCAGGCTGGAGTGCAGTGGCACACTCACAGCTCACTGCAGCCTCATTCCTGGGCTTAGGTAATCTTTCTACTTCAGCCTCCCAAGTAGCTGGAACTACAGATGTGCAACCCCATGCCTAGCTAACATTTTGATTTTTTGTAGAGATGAGGTCTTGCTATGTTGCCTAAGCTGGTCTCAAACTCTCAGGCATAAGCAATCTTCCTGCCTCAGTCTCCCAAAGTGCTGGGATTATAGGTATGAACCACCATGCCCAGTCACTTTTGTTCCTTATTTTTTCTATAGTAAATGTGTTAGTCATTGGTAAACTAAAAGTTTCAGTTACTTGAACAAGCCAAGCACGCCTTACTCAGGGCAGTAGATCCACTATTCCCATCTTGGGCTGTTGCCCCATTGCCTACCCTCTGATCTTAGGTTAAATGTCACTGACTCAGAGATTTTTGTGAATGACAACATAACTTGGATAGCCTATTGGCATCTCATGATCCTCATTGCCTCTGAAATGTCTCATTTATATCACCACAATTTGTAATAATATATATTGTTTGTTTAGCATTTATTTCTCCTCTGTATTATAAGCTGTACGAGGGAATACTTCTTTTTTCTTTTTTTTAATATAAGCTTTCTTTTGTTGTGCTTAGCTCACATACCCCCCAAATGGTAAAATGAATGAATGAAGGAAGGGAAAAACACAGGAATGTAGTAATGCATCTATTTTTTAGCTTCTGTTTTGCCAGGAGTACCTGTTAAAGTGGAACTAACTGGAACAGAGTTATTTGTACACTAGATATCTGAGAGTGAGAAATTGGACTCTTGTGAATAGGCATAGGAGAGTTTTAAAACTTAAAAATAAGCTCAATTGCTTTTTGTAGTTCAATGGGGTATTTTTATAGAAGGAAATACATCTTTGACTTCTTTGTGATTATTCATAATATCAACTTAAAGCAAATTTTCTTACATATTTTTGTTTTTTACATACTACTTTTTTGTGGATGTTATCTGTTCTTTTATTAAAATTACAATTTCTCCTCCCTCCCTCCCTCCCTCCCTCCTTTCCTTTCTTTCTTCCTTCCTCTTTCTTTCATCAGGGCCTCTCTCTGTTGCCCAGGCTGGAGTGTAGTGGTACAATTACAGCTTATCTCAGCCCCAACCTCCTGGGCTCAAGTGAACCTTTCACCTTAACCTCCTGAGTGATTAGGACTACAGGTGTACGCCACCATACTGGGCTATTTTTTGTTTTTTAAAAAGAGATGATGTCTTGCTATGTTGCCTAGGCTAGTCTCAAACCCCGGGGCTCAAACTGTTCTCCCCCCTCAGCCTCCCAAAGTGTGAGGATTACAGACTTGAGCTACCTCGCCCAGCCCAGATTATAGTTTCCTTTCGAATCGGAAACATTTTTAGATGTTACATACTGGGTCTATTTTTAATAGCTATAAGGTAATATACTATTTACTGAAGATGATATAATTAAACACTAGGTCTAACAATCAATCTTAGTAAATTTTCCTCTCTGATAATACACAAAATTGAGTGACTTCAGGAGTGTTTACAGCTTCATATGGTAGTGTTTGAGTTAACAAGGTTGCTTCCTAGGACTGTACATCTGTTTCTCCTTTTCTCCTGATTGTTGACCTCTGGAAATACAGTTTTACTCTAAACTTCACTCCTACTTTCATTTTCTCCATGAAATGATGACAAAGGTTATTTCTACGTGACAGTAGTTTGGTAGAGAGCTTTGCTAGCCAGGTGTCTGTGAAAGGTCCTGTTGGCAAGTATAAAACTTTAGTATAAAACTAAAGTTCTATTAGAGCAGGACTCTATTAAAATAATATTCCAGACTCATATGTGAATAAACTAACAGATACCACTGCTATTTTTTATTTGATTAACAGGCAACTGTCCCAAATAACTGAAAACACGTTAAATGGGGTTCTGCTGTTTTTACATGTTTGTGGTATTAACGAGGACAAGGTACTCATTTCTCCTAAGCCTCAGTTTCTTCATCTGCAAAAAACTTTATTTCTGGCACATCTACTTCAGAGGGCTTCATAAAGTAGAAAATATGAAATATTACATTATGATAGTACCTATAAAAGTGCAAAGACTTATACATGTGTGAGTTACTGTTCTATGATAATTGATTTTATACAGAGTTTTTATATTAAATCAGAACATATATTTTATGAAAGTGCACACATGATTTGTATGGAGGAAAACAAAAATGAATTAAATGAAATTTCTTACATAAAAAGGCGTGTTAGTGTTTTCTGGTCCTAAAGTTCTGAATTAAAACCCTTAGAATAATAATCTTTAAGTTCTGTTTTGTTGTAGTTAAAATCTTCAGTTCACAAGCTCTATAATTTATATTGCTCTTCTATTTTTTTTTTTTTTTTGACTTGGAGTCTCA